AGAAATAAATATTTTATGAGAAAAATAAATATTTTATGAGCAGGATTAAAAATTAAAATATACTTATTCCATATTATAATTGTAAGTTATAATACCATCTGTTTTGATAAGAATAAAAAGCTCTCAGTTAAAAAATACAGCCTCCATTCATCAAAGCTCTATGAAGTACAATTTAACAAAAATTACCAGAAACAAGCAATTCTATGAAGTCTTCTGCCAAAAGATACAAATAAAATCCTTCGAGGAGTTTTTTCAAACAATACAAAACCAAATTAAGTTATATTGAATTAACTCTATATAACTTTATATATAACTCTAGGCCATGTTTTACCAAAAAATAAAGCAGATGAAAATAACTGAGTACAATTAACTACCAGTTGCTGCTAGAAAACCTAACTTGTCTTTTGAGTAAGTTTCCAATGAATATAAAGCAATGTTCTGTTACAAGTGCCAACCTACAGCAATTACTAGGGATCTCCCCCAGTCAGTGTTCTAATTATTGAACTGTTCTTCATAGTAATCTTCAGAAAAGATTATAGACAGTGAGGTGGCATTATGAGCCCCCTCCTTACAGTGAGGTGGCATTATGAGCCCCCTCCTTATCAAAATGATTGTTATGATCATCTACAGACTGTTTAAAAATTCTAGTTTTCCGGTAGCTTAAAATTGCTAAAATTATTTGCTTTTCTCTTTACACAAGTTGACTACTTGTTTACCACTATTAAAGTAACGTTCATCTAAAATATGTAAAACACAAATATGTAGATGGGGAAAAAAAGGTTATGTCCATTCCCCTAATGTAAGACATTTTGTTTCTAAAATGTTGATACTATAAACAAGGCAAAGAAACATTATTTCATATGTTTTTGATATATCAGATTATGCCCCAAAATAGAAGCACTGGTCAAAAGTAATAATTTATGATTCACCAGTGAACTATGTAAAAAATCAGATTAGTAACTTCCTTAACTAAAAAAGTAGTCTTTTAATGCAGGATTAATGGACTCACCATTATGTCACCAGCCCAAGTTTAAGTAGTCATATATTTGCTGAGTATAAATGGAAGACTATGCTGCTTTCTCCTAGAAACTTTCAGCATTATATCCCTCCCTTTCTGGTAATCATTCATTCCTGCATCTTAATTACACAATACCTTTTTACTAATCATAACTTACAGACCATCTTGTTACCATGCTACTAGTTAGAAATGCCTTCAGAAGAACATTGAGGTCTCCTAATCCTAACTCCTTGACAGCCTTAATTTTAAAGATCCTAGACTGACCTTGGCATACCAAAATCTAGTCATCAGTCATCCCTCTGTTCCTTAGTAAATCAACTAGGCTGAGTTGAATCGGGGACTTATCAAAACCAAAATAGACACCAGAGGGAAGCAGCAGGTGAACCAAAATTGCTCTTTATGCTTTTACTAAAAGATAAATCCTTACTACATGCATAAAAGAAATTTTTAGAATTTTAAATTACTTTCCCAATTTAAGATATAATAAAAAAAGAAAGTTTTTTTTAAAAAGCCAACATAATATTAAGTAGATCCCCAATGTAAAATTTCCCTTTGCCTTTTAAAGATACTTATGATTTTATGGAAAGCTTGTACTGTATGCCTTAACATTTTGGGTTCTGTTCAAAATCCAACTATTTTGTCGAATGTTACACAATTCAAGAGTTAATTTCAAAAGTGGAAGAATAGATGACAACTTCCATTAAAATTAATAAAAGACATTGTTCTTGAGATAAGACGGTTGTAAAATTTCAAACATTGAGAAAAAGACTAAAAGTTTATCATGGTCTCTCTGTTCATCCGTTTGGTTAACTATACTACTTGTGTCACATTCACCATTTATTAAACGATTATAAAGTTTACACCTGTAGTGAAGCAAAGATTACTGTCTATAAAGCATCATAGAACTGCTTCCAACATTTATTAATATGGTTAATAAATCATAATAAATAACGAATCCTATTATACAAAGAAAATAGTATCAAACTCCAGAATTACCTAAAGGTTTGCCCTTTAGTTCTGGATTTGAGATCATTTCCACTTGTGCGTAAAAGCAATCCAGATCCACGTGTACTATGACTCTAGATGAAGAACTTCCTGCTGGCACCACTTGATCATGGGCTGCGGCACAATATGCAAAGAAATATAAAAATACATTCAGGCAGCTTATCGCCTCTGAGCAACTGCCAGTCCCTTAAAACATGGCAACTGAGAAAGAAGAATGCAGAGTGATTTTTAAAGTTTTTTTCCTGGATTTATCACATGTGTCAAAGCATCTAAAAATTACAAAGACATGAGAGAAACTCCACCCACAGTAGAGTCTTCAGTCCTGTTTACTTACTATTTCTTTGTATACTATATTTTTCTCAGGATAGTAATAAATTTAAGGAAAAAAATTTATCAATAATGGAAGATTGCAAGAGGTAATCCTAGGACTTGGAAGCTTATGGGAAAATTTAGAGTAAGTCGCAAGGGGCAGAAAAGTTTAAACATTGATCTTTCAAACAACTTAAAAAGTATTCTAAGTGGCATGTCCTTAAAAAAATAATCTGAAATACAAAGCAGCACAAGACAGAACCTATGGGTCCCGATGGACTACATCTAGCACCCATATGAGATCAAGATTAGCTGGTTCAATGCTGAATACCCAATACCTAAAACAGAGCCTGGCATATAATAGACTACCAATAAACACTTGCTAAATTGCAAGACAGAGTAAATACTTCCTGGATTTTAAAAAGTGGTTCATGTCTTGAGGGAAGGGGCAGAGGGATAAAACAGAGGAGATTCCAGCTCTTAACACCAGTTAAAAACAAGGCAGGCTAAATGCAATGTGGATTTCTGGTTTGGAGCCCGGAACAGAAAAAAATTAAGTGGAAAAAACTGGTAAAATCTGAATAAAGCTTGTCCTTTCATTAATAGTATGCCAATGTTACTTTCTTAGTTTTGACAAATGTATCATGGTGATGTAAGATATTAAAGTTACGAAAAGCTATCTGCGCATCTCTCTGTAAATCTAAAATTATTACAAAATTTAAGTTTTTAAAAAAGGGGGCGGGGGTCTAGGAGGCAGGGAAGGAGAGCCTTGGCCCCAGGCCCGGGGATCGGCGCGCTGCAAAGTAGGGTCCAGAGGCTGGAAGTGGGTCACCGGAGAGGCGGCCACTGCAGACGTGCCTCGTCCCCGGTTCCGAGCTGAGCCGTCCCTTCCCGTCTAGGCTGAGCCCGGGCCCCAACCTTTGCCAAACGGGCGACAAGTTCCCTCGCTTCTGCAACCTTTAGGCGGCCAGGGACTCTTCCGCTTTCACTGGGCTGTTCGAGGGATTACAAATGCAACCTCGATTAACCAACTGACGCGCCCACCCTACTCCTACTGGTCAAAAAAATCCCTCTCGGGATCTTGGCCTCAGAACACCGGGCAGCAAAGGGCAGCTCTCTCGGGAGCCAGGAAGGAGAAAGGACCCGAGCCGGCCGGGACGGTCGCACCCCAACGGCCGCCGCCACTGCCCCGGGAGTCCTCCCGCCCCGCGCTGCTCATTTACACCAAGGGAGGCCGCCGGGCCCCTCAGGCCCCAGCGCACCCGGCGAGCTGCCGGCTGCCCACGCCTCAGCCCGCTCCATGCCCCGAGCCGCGTCCTCTTCCTCGTAGCGGTCGCCTTCTTCCTCGGGCTCCACCCCCTGCTTCTGCGTCCCGCCCCAGCGGCCACCCGCAGGGCAGCTTCCGACCGCTTCCGCCCGGTCTCCAGGGAAGCCGCTCCGGGCTGGCGCCTGCGCGGTCTACTCGCCGGCTGGGAATCCTTCAGACCAGCGTGCTGGGGTTCCCTCCCGCCCAGCAGTGGATGAGAGAGTGTCTTACCAAACAGCTCATTTTTTTTTTTTAAGGTCTTCGGAGTGAGTCCCACACCACAAATTTTAACTGTTTATCTTTACTTAGAAGCCAGCCTGTTCTCCTGATAACTGTTAGCACAATTGCTAACCCTTAGACGCTGAATGATTTATGCTGATGGAGTTGGGGAAAAGGATGGAAATTATGGTGACAGCAAGGCGACCATGTAAACTAATATGATTAGCAAGTATGTTAAAGTTTGCATTTTGTTTGTTTGGTTCAAAGATACTGTGACAGATTGGACCCCTGAATTTTTAATCATTTAAACTGAATAGGATTTTGATACATGAGCTTTGGAGTGGGATAAAATTCTCAATCCAGACCCTCCAACTTGCTAACTGTGACTTTGGGCAGGTTAAATAACTGATCTGAACCTGTTTCTCCACTGTTTAAAAAAAAAAAAAAAGGTCTTGAGTGTATTGGGATTAAATGGACGAATGAAAACTAACGTACTCTTTAATATTCCAATGAATATAAAACACCTGGGACATGGAAGGTTAGAAGGTGCTCAATAAATGTTCATTCTCTTTGCTTTCTGTTAACATGCCTTTTGTGCCTGTGTGTGTGTGTTTCTTCCAACAGAGAAAATTTGGAAATTTCTGTGCACGTGTGTGTGAATGAATATATATATATATATATATTCAAAAATTATTTTGATTTTTTAACAGGATTCTTTCATAAATAGGTTGTGAAAACTTTGAGAAACCCATTATAGGACATGCTGATGCATCCATAAAGAAGGAATAACAGGCAGAGCTGGGGCTCGGTGGTTTGGAGACCAGGTCTTCCTCTTTGGGTATTTTACTCTTAGACATCTGAACCAGTTTCTTCAAACTCTCCAGTATAGGATCTAAGACAGCAATTTAAAGCTATCCTGCTTTCTTTGCGATTGCTATTTGCTAAGTCTAGATAAAGTACTTTTGAATTAAGTGCCTCTTTGGCTATCATCAAGGGTCCAATTACTTGTAGACAACTAAGGTATTTTGTTTCAATTCCTCCATGTTGAGAATGATACAAATCAGGGAAATACCATGGCAGATTAAAACAGTTCCTTTATAAGAGCCCTAGGGTCACTAACACTCAACAGCTTGACTAAAAGTGAACCAGCATTGAAAAACAACACACATAAACCCTCTTTAATTGAATTTATTTCCCTGTCAATTGTCAAACTGAAGAGTGACTTTAAATTTAGTAGAAGAATAGACAAATGGAACCTTGCAACCATAGGGGAGCGAGCCAGGCTGGCTTTGTGAGTGTACAAGCTATGAAATAACACAGAACTCTGCACTTAGAAGGGCCCCTCACTTGATTTAATGTTCTCCTATTGCTGTCTTGAAATTCTTAATAATTTTTGAACAAGGGAGCCCTCATTTCCATGTTGCACTGGACCTCACAAATTATTAGCCAGTGCTGGGAACAGAGGAGGGAAGTGGCATAGAAGAGAACACTTACAAAGCACCTGTATGTCAGGCACAGCCCTAAGAGCTTAAAACAGATTATGTCATTCAATATGCCTTAGAGGGTAGGTATCATCATTCTTATTTTACCAAAGATGAAACAGGCCAGCAGAGACTAAGACGCTTACTCAAGATTATGAATCTAGTAATGGTAAATCTACTTTCCAGAGTTTTCCATAGAGAAGAATTCATTAAGAATGTTTCTTCCACAAGAAAAGGGAACCCTCCTACACTGTTGGTGGGAATGTAAATTGATACAGCCACTATGGAGAACAATATGGAGGTTCCTTAAAAAACTAAAAATAGAACTACCATACGACCCAGCAATCCCACTACTGAGCATATACCCTGAGAAAACCATAACTCAAAAAGAGTCATGTACCACAATGTTCATTGCAGCACTATTTACAATAGCCAGGACATGGAAACAACCTAAGTGTCCATCAACAGATGAATGGATAAAGAAGATGTGGCACATATATACAATGGAATATTACTCAGCCATAAAAAGAAACAAAATTAAATTATTTGTAGTGAGGTGGATGGACCTAGAATCTATCATACAGAGTGAAGTAAGTCAGAAAGAAAAAAACAAATACCATATGCTAACACATATATATATATGGAATCTAAAAAAAAAAAGGGTTCTGAAGAACCTAGGGGCAGGACAGGAATAAAGACAGAGATATAGAGAATGGACTTAAGGACACGGGGAGGGGGAAGGGTAAGCTGGGAGGAAGTGAGAGAGTGGCATTGACATATATATACTACCAAATGTAAAATAGCTAGCTAGTAGGAAGCAGCCGCATAGCACAGGGAGATCAGCTCAGTGCTTTGTGACCACCTAGAGGGGTGGGATAGGGAGGGCGGGAGGGAGATGCAAGAGGGAGGGGATGTGGGGATATAAGTATACATATAGCTGATTCACTTTGTTATACAGCAATTAAAAACAATTATACTCCAATAAAGATGTTAAAAAAAAAAAAGATGTTTCTTCCACAGAGGAAACCACTCCCTCTGCCCATTTTCCTTGCCCCGTTTGTATTCTCTCTCTTCCAACCCTCCCCAACTTGCCATCTTCAGGTAGACGTTGTAGTTTGCGTTTTCTAGAATTTCATATAAAGGGAATCCTACAGTTACTCTTGTATGGCTGTTTCCACTAAGTGCATAAATATATTTTTAGTGTTATTTATGTATGTGCAAAAGCGTGGCATCAAGTAAGAATAAGCAAGGCCCTGTTATGTATTAGAGCTGTGTTGTTTATAAGCCAAGGGGCTTTTTATGTACTGACAATCACTGAGAAAGAGTTGTTTAAAGTGAGAAGTGAAGTTGCAACTAAGTAAATTCAACTTCAGTTTCATATCAATTCATTATCAGTAAAAGAATTTTGAATCATCTGCCTCATTAAAAAAAAATCATGACAACTTGGATATATTTGGAGGCATAAAAATAAAATTTATTTGAGCTAATATGTGTTGCTTTGTAGTGGGATGAATTAGGGAAAGTGGTTTTTTTAAATCTATAAATCCCATCCCTCAGTTTTAATTAATTGGCTCTAAATCTAGGATAATTTCAGGAAATAAATATTTTGAGCCTGAATCATAATTGCGTACTTAAGTGCCAAATGAGAAGAACAATTGCAAGGCAGAATAAACATTTAATTAAAGGAAATTATGGTTGAAACAATATTCATGGGGGAGCATGGGTTTGCAGTGTAGGTAATGGATAAAGAAACTGGGGGCATTCATGAGCTTCAGAAGTCAAGACATTATGAACTTACATACCTGAAAAGTGACAAGCAGGACTTCCCTGGTGGTGCAGTGGTTAAGAATCCGCCTGCCAATGCAGGGGACATGGGTTCCAGCCCTGGTCTGGGAAGATCCCACATGCCACGGAGCAACTAAGCCCGTGTGCCACAACTACTGAGCCTGCGTTCTAGAGCCCACGAGCTACAACTACTGAGCCTGTGTGCCACAATTACCGAAGCCCGCGTGCCTAGAGCCTGTGCTCCCCAACAAGAGAAGCCACCGTGATGAGAAGCCCGCGCACCGCAACTAAGAGTAGTCCCTGCTCACCACAACTAGAGAAACCCCGCCCGCAGCAACGAAGACCCAACACAGCCAAAAAAAAAAAAAATAGTGACAAGCATGACCGGCCATGTCAGGGAAGGCTGGGAAAGTTACCAGCGTCTGCTTATCTCCTCCTAGACAAATTGGCCACGTATTATTCAGCTGGAGAACCCTAGATGGTGTTCTTCAAGGGCTTTGAGATGAAGAGTGTGAGGGCGTTTATGAGTATCTGTATTTTATGTTGGTGGTGGCTAGGTAAATAGAGGCTGGCCGTGGGGTCAAAGGAACAATTTGTATTGGTGAGAACAGAGGGCCTACTGTAGTCTTTCTGTAGTCTTTGATCTAGTACAGTGGTTCTCAATTGCGGACAACGATTTTGTCCCCTAGAAGATATTTGGCAATATTTTGGAGACACTCTTGGTGTTCACATCTGGGGAGTTGCAGCTCTGATTACTGGCATCTATTGGGTAGAGGCCAGGGATATTGTTGAGCATGCTACAATACACAGGACAGCCCTTTACAATAAAGAATTATCAGTCTAAAGTGTCAGTTGGGCCAAGCTTGGGGAACTCTGGCCTAGTAGTGTTTGTATCATCCTGCTGCCAACTCCCTCCTCAGCTTATGGTCCCCAGCTGTAAACTAATAATGTAGAACTGGTCTTTGGTTATGTGCTTTTAATTATAAATAGGACAGTTATAGAGAAGGGAAGATATAAGAGAGGGAGACAAGTATTATTTAGTTGCTTTTCACCATGGGGATTTACATTCTGAGGCTAAAATGCAAATGAATGCATTGGCTGGAAAAGAGATTTCAGAAAAATATTCACTTTTATGAAGCTTGTGAGTTGCCCCCAGGGTGAAAGGCTAATGAGTCAGAAATAATTTACACGGCTTAGAAGCTGAAACCAGAAAGCACAGAAAGGCTTCAGGTGGTTGAAAGCAAATTAGAATTATTTTACGCAGTTGCACAATGTGCATGTCGTGCAGTATTTACTAAATAACGCTCATCCAAGGATCTCACACCCTTTGCATAAAATTTTCAATTGTCATGAAAAAACCCTCTTCTCCCTTTTTTTTTTTTTTTGCACATTGCACACCAAAGCTGCAGTTTCAAGCTTTCTCAGTGTAACCTAAAAATATTTGCTGCATACCATGTGACTGGGGCTAAGAGAAGGTGTAAGAGGCTGGAGTTTTTCTAACAGTCAGCTTCTCTTTGCTTTGACCTTTCTTTGTGGTTCTGTAGAATTCGATGAAAGGCCTGCATAGTCAT